GTTCGTCCATTGATTGGGCCTAATTAACTGTACTTGAAGTTGGCGCACGCCTCAAATTTCAATCATCCATCAGGGCCAAGCATGTGGGCAAACTGGGCTTGTTTGTGGGGTGTTTGTGGGGTGCGGCAGAGAGAGAGAGAGGGGGAGGGAGAGGTTTGACTGTCGCTCGTCCTTTCACATTCATCTGGACAATGTGCTGCAATTATGTATTACGGCATCAATCAATTAATTCCTTATCAATGTATTCTGCGACGCATGCAATGCAATGGGTTGGAGGTCAGTAAAGGTTATTTCGAGCATTCCCAAAAAAAGACCCCCCCCCCCCATCGCTGTCCTGAATTTCCTTTTTAATAAACTTAAGTAATTATATTGCATAATTTTGTTAACTCAAAATTCCAATCAGAATGTAAATACTTAAATATCAATTACATTTCAGTTGTGCCTTGCCAACAATTTTAACTATCCGTGAATGATACAGGGTGCATTTAACTACTTTGGGCTTGTGTGCATTAAATACTGAAGTATTAAATTCAAATTCAATTTAAGACATCTCCAAATTTCAATTGCTCCGCAATATGATTGTAAGCGCCTTGAAGCGTATACATATACAATGGCCATTGTGTGTACATACTCCATATGTGTATGTATGCGTGCATGTGTATCTTGATTTTCGTAATTAACTTTAAAAGTCATTTATCAATCAATCAGCAAGAATGTGTCAAGCTAGAGTCGCAGCCAAAAACCGACAAGCCAACAATCCACCGAGGCACAAATTAAATGGACGCAACGTAGAGGCGACAACACAAACAAAAACAGCAACGTGACTCTGCAGCACAACAATCCACTCCACTCTTCACACTCTACAGTCCACTCGAGCCCGTGTCGAGTTGAATCGAGACGACAAGTGTGCTAAAAAGCATTCACGACAAGGTCGCACTTGCTGCGGAGGCCGCAAAGCCGAAAATTGGCTTACAATTCGCCTGTGAAGCGGCCAAGCGTCAACTAAGTAAATCAATCGCCAAGTGGCCCAAAAGAAAACCAACAACAACAACAACAATAACAGCAACGTAAAACATTTAGGAGAACAATTCTAAGAAAAAGAATACGCGACTACTCACATACTACGCCAAGCGTCTTTAGATCAGCTGAACAACTCTTGCAAAAGTAAGTAAATGAAAATTGTTATTAGTATTAATCACGAGGACATCTTGAAAATGGCATAGCATTTCCACATGGTCAGAGAAAGTCATGTTGCCAAATTTACAGACGAGTATTATTCTAATTTAATTAATCCGCGGAATATTTGAATGTTGTTCGTTAGAGGTGACAGAGAGCTTCCCTTCCATTTGAACGGAATGCAATATGCCCGCTGTACACTTCAAGGCACAATAGATGGAAATACTCGCAGAAGTAAAACAAGCAAATCAAATATGGCATGGCAATTAAAAGCAACGCTGACCAAGCTCGCACTCGCTCGAACTCAAATTCAATGCAAACAGAGAGTAACTAACAACAACAACAACAACAACAAAACGTGAACAACAAAAAATAGAAAATGAAAAAAAAAAGAATGCAAAATAAATAAATAACCAAATGACCGAATAACGAAAACGCTTAAATTTTGGCATGGCAATTGAGCATTTCGAAATGTTGGCCGAGTAATTTTTTCGTGCTTGCCTGATAAATGACAAAAGGCGCCCCATTTATTAACCTAAACTACAATTATGGCTGCCTGACCGCACGCTGACCACAAGCAGTCAGCAGCCAGTAGTTGGTAGTCGGTAGTTGGTAGTTGGTAGTTGGTAGTTGGTAGGCACCAGCACTGGCAGCCGCAGCAGCAGGATTAGACCCCCGGCACCGACTCCATTTCCACTCCTACTCCGAATCTGACTCTGAGGCACTCTGCATGCCAAATGGCAAAGCATTAACTGCCATTAGTTGTGGGCTGGCTGTATGTGTGTGCTTGTGTGTGTATAATGCGAGCTAAGACTGTGGCAGCTGATGATGCGGCATGCGGCTCAAACTTTTCCACTTTGCAACTATTTCAAAAGTAAAGCGAAACTTGGCCAACCATACCAACTCGTCAACCCTCCAAACCGCCCTCATCCCCCCCTCCCCCGCTCACTTTGCACACTGTCAACGCTGTATGGTGCCAGCATAACTGACGTCGATTTCCAATGCGATTCATGTCTGCTGACCCACTCACCCCTCACCCCTCTCTCAGCCCTCAGCCGATTTTCAGAGCTACCCGCTGCCTGGCTGGTGCCTGCTGCATGATTTATGATTTTGCCAAAAGTATTTCTGTGGCCAGCAAGCCTCGAGCGGGCAAGCGTTCAAAGTTGTCTGCTGAAATCATTTTAATTGAAAAAAATTACACATGAGCGAAGCCAAAAAAAAAAAAAACAAAAAAAAAAAGAGAAGAAAAGAAAAATCGTAGCAAATGGCAGAAAATCAGCCAGCGTATGACGAAACTTGAATACACTTACGCCATTCTGAGAGAAACAATTATTTGGATTCACACTCAGCCTACTCTGACAAGCGTTATGGATGAAAGTGCTCTGAACAACTTGAGAGTCATCAAGAATCAAGAATTATAATTTATTTCGTGAAAGAGCTTATTAGACAACAGCATATTATGTTATTATTTATTAAGGAAAACATAGAGTTACAAGTAATAAGATTTATTCACAATCAAAATGCTGCGCGAATCACAAAAAAGCTTACAATTCAATAGAGCAACAAAATGTATCCACCGAGTACACGTGTACATCTCTGTACTTGCTGGTTTGTGTGTGTGTTTTGTGCAGGAGCCAAAGTTATGCCCTTCAGCTGAGCAAGGTTCACAGTGGGCTTGACTTTGCCTAGTAAGGGGTGTGGGTCTCATGGCCTGTGCCCGGTCTCCGGTCTCTGGTCTCTGGTCTCTGGTCTCTGGTCTCTGGCAGGGGTCTGCGACTGGTCCTGAGCCAGGGCCAGGGCCTGGCACGTTCACTAGCTACCGGAAATGTCCATTCACTTGCATATTAACAAAGTTCCGCACAGGCAGCGACGTCGGCGCTGCTCGGACGGCTTGCATATACTTGGCAGTACTTAATAAACTCCCGGGACAAACACTCACACACACACACACACAACACACACACTATATATATACATTCAGAGAGAAAGAAAATGACGAGCAGATGGACAGACTGTACGTATGAATATATGTGTGTATGCGTGTGTGTGGCTGTGTGTGTGTGTGGTATGTAGCTAGGAAACGGGCCAACTAACTTACTCGTACATCATATGGGTGGGTGGGGAATGGGTAATGGGTAGTGGAGGGAGGAGTGCAAGTCACAGTGTGGCCTTTAGAGTGGCCTTTCCATAGCATACAACTGTGCGACGGCCGCCTGTGGCGCTGTTAGCTGTGGCTCAACATAACTGAAACAGGAAAGTATTTCGAAGGCACCGGAAGCCGGAAGCAAGCAATAATTCAAATGAATTTCAAATCAAATCATTACTAAACATTTACAAAGTATGCGCAGCAAGCTGCACACAACACCACAGGAATCTTCCACCCACCAGCCCACCAATCCTGCACTGAACTTGGACTGCCAAGCGATAGCCTTGAAGACCTTTGAGTGCCTTGGAGCACCTTGAGCCTGTTCTACCTTCAACTTGCAGCTGCAGCAGGTGGTAGGCAGTGGGTTCTGGTCGTGATTAATTTCTATTATTATGACAGTGATTAGGGCCACTTACAGGCTCATTACAGCCATAAGCGGCATAAGGCACATACCAACACACACACACACACTGAACACTGGGACTGGTACACTAAGAAAAACTAAATAGTTCTGAAACCAGTATGATCGTCCTCCTTCTCTCTCTCTCTCTCTCTCTCTCTCAAATTTCAAGGCAATTTTATTTTTCTGAGTGTACTCGCGCATTTATCAAGCCATTGGACACCACATGCAGCGGCCGTTTGTCTTGCACTTGACCAGGCCAGAACCCATGCAACTAAATCAGCATGCCAGGCAACTGCATAAGAAACGCCACCCGCAAATCCAGTGATAGAGCCACAGGCAGGTGCAGTGGCATAGGCAGGGGCAGCTGCGTCGACAGCGAAGACGACACGTGGCCAAGGTGTGCACAGGATAAAAACTTTATTGCTCTGCAAGACTAGAAGCTAAACGAGAATAATATATTGTTGTAGACCAAGCCAGTCTAAAACAAAACTAAAATCAAAATATATATTTATCAGTTCAATGTATATAATACACACTTGACTGATTTGCTATAGAACAATTTTTACTCTTAACCAGCAGGAACTTTAAATATTTTTCTAACTAACTGTTTTTAAAACTTATCAAATTTCGAAATGGAAAGTAAGTTTGAACTTCAAAAGACTGTGAGAAATAGGTTCAAAGTTTGCTTACAAAAAATCAACCATGTAAAAGTTAAGATGGTTTCTAACACGTTTTTTGGCATGGCTTCGTCCCAAAATTATAACTGGTTTTAAATTCCATCGTTCGTGCACTAATCATATACTAGTAAGCATGTTCTAATGGTTTCAATTATACATATAATAGAATACAATAATATTGAATAAATAAGAATTCAATTTGCATAAGGCTTACAATTAAATACAATGATTTTCAATAAGTTAGAATAAATGCAATTTCCAACCTACTTCAGAAAACTCAATGGCTAAAGTATCTGCTTATTTTTTAATTCTATTTTTTTCCTCGTATTTATCCAAGCAAGCCGACTGTACGAATATTTCTATAAAAGTTCTACCCCATTGTATAATTATCTTATTATCCACAGATGACTTTCTTTATGTTTCCACTATTTGTGGACGTTCACCAGTTGAAAGCATAGCTGGCATTAAATGTTTACAGGCGTTAATAAAAAATTCTTCAAATAAATAAATAATTTATTATTTTTAATAGGTTTACAAAAAAAAAAGTGGTTTTTGAAAAAAAATCTTGCTGCTTAAGCATTGGCTGGGTAGCCGTGGGTTAGCCGCGATTGGGACGCACGACGACAACTTGGGGCCGCTTGCCCTTGCCGCCCTTGCCTTTCTTGTTGCCCCTGCGGCGGCGTCTGCCTTTAGTCTGGGTGACGCCGATTCGTCGCCGACGCTGCTGTACTCGACGGCGATTGCCACCTGCGGCACCCATGCGCTGTGCGAGACCCTGGGAAATGGTTTGTGTCAGCAGACTGTTGATCGGCGACGAGCCATAGATTGCCTGATTGATGGCAGCCTGTTGGTTGCTAACACCAGATCCCGATGCTGCATTGCCATTGCCCACATTCACATATATGGCGCCATTGCCCGTTGGTGAGCTTGAGCCAACACTAGTGCCTGTGCCCAAGCCAGTGCCCAAACCTGTGCCCAAACCAGTGCCCAAACCAGTGCCCAAACCTGTGCCCAAACCAGTGCCAAGTCCTGTGCCAGCAGCATTCGTAGTCGAAGGACGCAGCTGCTCCAGCATGTCTTGTTGGTTTGTAATGTACTGATTGAGCGCTGAATTAAGTCCATTGCTGCCGCTGCCGAGGCCACCTACACCACCCAGGCCGCCGGCAAGGAAACGCAGCTGTCCGTTCTCGTTGCCATCCTTCACATAGAGACCGGCCAGACGAGACTGGGAATCCTCGGTGGCACAAGTTGTAAGAAACAGCAGCACTGACGCCAGCAGCGTCCAGATGTAAACAGCTCGGATCATTGTCGATGGGTTGACTGGCTTGGCAAAGCGACTTGCCGGCTTTTATAGTAGATGGAGGCGCCTCAAGTGCGTAATGAGTGAATGATATGCCAAAAAGTTATATCAACTGATATGTGACCCATTCCAAGTTCACGCTTTCTTCGCGTTCATTGATTCTTTGTGATTCGAATTATTGCAAATACTCAAATCATTGTATTCCATTTGGCTTCGTAGAAAGCCGCTCAGAAATGCCTCCAGGCAACATTTCAGAGCGGGCTTTGCTTTCTAAACGTGTCAAGTACTTAATCTACGCATATTGTTTGCCGAAGATCAACAGCCGATCGTCGAGTCGATCATGATCAGAACAGCCCAACACATACGAGTATGCAACTCAACTCAATTCAGAGATGATTTGCGTCCAGTCGTCAAGCATTTTACACAAATGAAAATGAAGATCAAATAAATATTAGACAAGCGATCTGATAAAGATCTGGGAAAGAACCGAAGAAGGATGACCGATAAGTAGCAGTATTCTTAAAAAAAAGAATGCGCTGCGATTTATGAAATCGTCATCCCTTTGGTGTCAAAGATAACTCAAATTATTATTCGGAAAGTATATTTCTAAAACGGAAGATTGATCGATTTATTTATATGTAATCGAAACCCTTTCCCCTGGGGTGATCAAATGGTTGGCAAGTTGTAGGATTATCATGTGCAAACAAGCTTAACAACGACTCTAATTAAATTGTGCGACACTTGACGTTTTCGAACGGCTGCGGCCCACTGTGCCTGAGTGCACCGCAAAGTTTGAGAGGGTCAGAGTGTGAGAGAGTGAGAGAGTGAGAGAGAGAGAGAGAGAGAGAGAGAGTGCGCCTAAGTTTAGCGAAAACGACAGTTGCTGACGACTGCCTGGCGGGGCTGTTGAAATAAATTTTCACTTACGCCACCAACGCACAACGCACACAACACTGAACCAAACACACATAAACACACACCCACACACACACACACACACACACACACACACATGCATACATAGAGTACTCAGATGGGGTGCGTCGTTTACTTGGCAATGCAATTACAGCCGCTAACCGCGCGTGAAAATAGCAACAGAGCAGTTGCAGCAACAGCAACAGCAACACCAGCCACAGCTGAACAACGTTGCCTGCAACTGCGAAGCGGCTTAAAACGGCAAAATGACAATTAACAACAGACGGCGAAGCGCGGAACGCGAAGACGCGACGCGATGCTCAGCGTTGAACAGTCAGCGCCATATCAATGACAGGATGCACAGCTGGCAGCATAGCAAAATCAACAGCAGCCTTACGCACATTAACAGGATTCAATTTTTAAGCAGCCTGCACATGCCCCTCCCCGCAACCAATTACAAACCGTTAAAGGAAAAACCACACGCCCTTCATTTCCACGTGCAATGGCAACAGCGAAAATGTGTCGGGCAATAGAATGCCAGTCGAAGTTTTGCCTCATCTACCTTGGCAGCGTGAAAGCACCAGCCACACAGCTCCTACCCATTTTTCCCTCAACCCCACACACAAATGCTGTTTGCGACATAACAAAAAGCAGTTTGGCCAAATGGGTAAAATTGCAAGGAATTTTAAGTGGAATTCCATGACATTTTAATAGTGTTGCCGATTTGGGCACACTCAAATGCAGGCGCCATATGGCACAAACTTCTACAGTTGGGTGGAGTTGCAACTCGTGATCCTCTTTATTTGGCAGAGCTCCGAGCAGCGACAAATATATGTCCATATACATCGCCTGGAAAGCAAATAGCTTATTTCGATTGCAATCGAAAGCCAACACAGGTTCACTTCTATTTTAAAGGAAAAACAAGTAAGAATGGTGTAGTCGAGAGGGATCGACTGTGGTTCTTATTGCTATCGATACTCGCCAAATAATGGTGTTAGCAGTCATCGATAAAATTAGATAATCTTGACCTTCGCATGTTATAAGAGAACGTGTATTCAAATTTTTAAGTCCTAGCTGTTATAGTCTCTGAGATCCACGAGTACATAGAGCCGAACGGATGAAGAGAGGGACATATCTGTTGATAGCGATCAAGACTGCATATACTTTATGGGTTCGAAGATGCGTCCTTCATCCTGGTACAAAACCATTATTCCCTTTCATTCAGGGCATACAAATTGGATTACAATCATGCCTTGCAATTGTGTAGATTTTAATTGGTTGGCTTTCGAACGCCTTTCATTTACTGAAGCTTCCGTAAGATCAGATGACCTGCATTGAAAGCATTTGCATAATTTCCTTGCCACAAATTCGTGTGTTTAGCAACTGTTAAGAAATGTTATAAGATTGTAAATGGAAAACAAGCCAAAATATGTGTATAAAGAAAATTTAAAGCTGGTGTTTTCCAGAAATGCTCTGTCCAAAAATTGGAAATATATGAGAAAGGTAGAACGCATTATGAAAAGGCATCTCAGAGTATATTTTATAAAAATCGGAGGGAAATCGTGAATATAATTTCTAGTTGTTCGACTTTACAATTCGGTAGCTTTGGTATCTGTGTGACAGTAATTGTCAACATGGCACGTGATATCAATGCATTAACGGAAGTGTTTTCTTTCCTTTTATCAAGGGTGGATTGCTGTTCGATGTGAGCGATCCAGAAATAGTCACGGAAGTGTAGCAATCTATGCTTAGAGATCAATAATCGCTCCCAGCAGTGTTCCCCTCGCTTCAGGTAAGCCCTGCCACATTGAATAATGTTGCAAGCCATAGTCATAAAATGGCGGCGTTAGCAATAGGGGGGATAGGTACATAGAGGGAGGGAGTAGCAGTTCTACTCCGCTCCACTCTTCAAATGACAAACAGACGCAGCAAATAAATAACAAGAATCAGGGCATTGTGAGGCATTTTGGGGACGCTTTATGTGTTTTTTTTTCTTTTTGTCGCAGTGGTGGGGAGGTAGGTAGGGAGCGTGAAGAACCTTACCACTTAACTTATTAACACACACACACACACGCACACACAGCAAGGAGGAACAGGAAGCCGCTGCTTGCCCCCAAAAGACAAAACAAACGCCAGCGAAGAGAAGAGCCGAACAGATGAGCCAGTCGAATGGATCTATTTTCAGAGAGCAGACACAGTCACATGTTTGGGGTGCACATAGATATACCCGCGTGTGCGTATAATAGGGAGCATAGGGGGCGGCTGAGCGATCAGCTAGCCAAGTCGCACCAATATTAATTGCAGCCGACGATGATGCAGACGCGCCCAGACGAACATTTGACATGTTTAATGCGAAAAACGAAAACGAGAACGAATAAGAAAAAATAAATAAAACAAAACCAAACCAAACCAAAGAAATAAATAAAGCAAGAGGCGACCGGGACTGTCGAGCAAGGTGGGGGGCTGGGGAATGAGATATCTATTTTTGGGGCCGACGCGTCAAAATGCGTTGCAAGGCGAGACGTTGACATAGGCTGGAAATTCTGCCACAAGCCTGGCAACAAATTCCGATGCGGATTGGGATGCAGATTTCGAATGAGAGCAGACATCAGAAGACATCAGACAGTAAACAGTCGACAGCAGACAGCGCCACACAGGGCCACAAGTCCACACAAGTCCAAAGTCCAAAAGCAAATGCAAACAAAGCAATAATTCCTCACACTCTCCACTTATACAGTTGAACTTGCCTATGTCAAAGTTGCACGAGATCAGAAAAACTCTTCACGAAAAAACTGTTTAGTTAAAGTCAGTTGACAGTTGGCAGTTGGCAGTTGGCAGAGCTCTTTTGTTATATTTACAAATAATTGAAGGTTAGATGTCATCGGTTGAACAATATATGATTCCAAATACAAATCAATTTGAACAAGACTTTAGGGGCAGAAAGTATAGAAGTTAAATAAAAAGCTTATAACTTAATGGCGTTTTCCAGTTTTAACACAGTTATGAGGGTAAAGCATTCGCCATGAAGCCAAGAACTTTGCTTAACTTAATGACTCAAAGTCATATTAGTAATTGAATCGTTGCAGTCGATGAGGCTTAAGACTAAGATTACTTTTTTTATGTGCCTTTTGCCAGGCACAAGGGGTGGGTGAATGGCCTTTGACCTTAGCCAAGTGCAGAAGTGAAGCAAATAACGGCGGGGAACAGACACTATAGGGAAGTTCAACTGTACGCACATATTTTGCTGTCTGGAAAACGGCTTCTGTGTTTTTCTTTGTCTGGGGACTTTACTTCTCTGACAGATGAAAATGAAACCATCCCTGACTGCATTAGCAACATCTTGTCATCACTAATCGTATCGAGTATAAATATATAATGAATATGCCTCTCACCAAGTGCAACAAAAATTAACTTAAAGTTCGCATTCCAGTAATTATATCTTTAAGCACTTGCCAAAAAAACCAAATCTGCAGTTTCAAAATAAAATTCCGGCTCTGCACTCTTACGTGCTCATATATAATGATAATATTTGGTCTTCCATCTCTAAAGGCGTATATTTTGTTTCATTATCTGTTAATTCGGCAGCTGTGAAGAGTACTGCGAGTACTTCACATTATCGTCATTAATTGTGAGTTGTGGCATCTGCCAGTCGCAGTTGCATTTGCCACTTGTGGCAATTGCCATTGAGATGACTTATGCTTTATTTTGTGACCATGTTAGGCGCACCCACCTAAACGTAGGCGTCCATTTGCCAGCTTGCGGGGCGAGATCCAAAACATCCAAAACATGAAAATCAAATATCGTCTTGCAGACACAAAAAGCAAACCAAACACTTTTTGGCAATTAGTGCAGTGCATCCTGTGGCTCTATACCCTAATGTCCTGCGTGTCCTGCGTGTCCTGTGTCCTGTGTCCTGTGCCCTGTGCCCTTTTGTCGTTGATGGATGCGGACGGATGCACTTGAGGGCGTGCCGCAGTCAAAACCCGGCCAGCATCATACACTTGAGGCGCATCTAATTTAGTGGGCGCCAAAAATGAGGGCTTCTCCGCATGTGGCCATCAAATGCGAGTTTTATGTAAATGTCCTGCGCT